ATGTTTCCCGGGAAAAGTGATATCGTTCAGTGCGTAAGAATTTCTATTTCAAATTTGCTATTTCAGCCCTGGGCATTAACGGTGGTAATAATAGTAATAACGTCCTTTCAAAGGGCAATATAGTGAAATATTGGACCAAGGGCAGGCAATATTTCACTATATTGCCCTTTGAAATAACGTTATTGTACTATTAATTGACATTTCAAAAATAACAGTCGATCATTTCTGTTTTATGATGATTTGAATAAAATTTGCTGATGTGAAGTAAAATTTTAACAGAGGAGAGATTATCCAAATATGAGGTCATATTAATGACTGCACTCAGTAATCTTCAGTGACGCTGACGAAGTTTTTCATGAAAGAGTAACTTTCTATTGTGGTTCTGAATTGAATCGGTATAAGCAGATATGTTTCCAAAAATGCAAATTTAAAGCAAATTTCGCAAACTTTAGTTATTGATATGTAGAGATAGTCTATTAGGGTTAAAAACAATAATGGTCAAAATTTGGTACATCTGACTATATAATGCTTTTATATTCAAAAGTCAATGCTATTATTCTTATTTAACCTATCAAATGATTTTCATATATCCAAATAACCATTATATTAGTTTTTGGCAAAGTAAATAATTGTAGGGGTCACACAAGGAGCAACTGTATTTCTATATTGACACTTTTTCATACTGCTCTGCCGCTCTAAGAGCAAGAGCAATGAATTGTGATTTTTCAGTTGAAACAACAGAACAAACACATTATGAGTATGAGTACATGTGCTTATATCTACAACAATTTTTTGAGGTTATGAGCATTGGCTATCAATTGGCTATCAATTTCTAATTTTTTTTCAACATGTATTGTAATGACTTCAGTATGAATGAAATGTCCCTTGGTCTTCTGGTCTTGGATTGTGATATTGATTCTTGAATGGTGGGGGAAAGGGGGTATTAGACATTGTTTCTTTTCACGTTAGATCATGGTTTTGGGCTATATGGGGTTTGTTTTTCTTGACTGGTATGCACTTAGAAATTGCTTTTTCTTGCTAAGTTCCATTATAACTTTTGGTCCTTTCCCTTTGGCACTAGTGGTTATATATTTGAGAGTTAAACGAGCAACGCCATCGTTTATGATATACAGTGAGTTAGGTAGATACCCTATTAAAATATCAATAAAAACAAGGATAATTAATTTTTGGAGTAAACACATTAAGTAGCAAAGTGTATAAGGCAATGCTTAAACTATACCAGGAGGGTATTTATAAGTCACAGTGGTTAAGGTGTGTAGAGAATATTTTAAATGAATGTGGTTTTTCAAATATCTGGATATCTATTAAGTTTTGAAAGTAGTTTTGCACTGAAATTAAGAGTTAAATGCAAACTAAAAGATCAATTTGTTCAAAAAAGGAATACAAACCTTCAGAAAGCACATATCATTTATACAAGGCAATTAAGACCAATATTAACTTTGAATCTTATCTCCACCACCCATTGAGCATACCTCTGTACATGACAAAATTTAGGATGTCAAATCATAATTTGCCAATACAAATTGGAAGGTATAATAATATACCAAGACATTCACGAATATGTAAACATTGTAACAAATTAAATACTCCAAAACAGGCCAAATATATATAAATTAACTGAACTATTTACAAACAAAAGGTATACAATTCAACTAAGTAAATTTTTACATAGTATTTTTAAAGGATTAAACTAAATTTTATATGGAATAGGAGAAGGTTTTTATGTTACCACCAAAAAGTGGTAATATATATTGAAATAGAATTATGAAACTTCTTGATTTTTTAGGATTTTTATATGGAATTGGAGAAGGTTTTCATGTTCCCACCAAAAAGTGGTAACATATTGTTATGGACTCCATTTTTTGTGCGGTGATCGTCGTATGGTGATCAGTGGTTGGCAGTTGGTGATCGGCGTCTGTAACAAATTATTACAACTTCCAATAACTTAACAAATACTGTTTAGACTGACTTCACTTTTTTCAAAATCATCTACAAGTTTTCTGAAGTTCAAATCTGGCTTAACATCTAAGATTTAAGTTTTAAGTTTAAGTTTATTGTTTCATTCAATTTATATACCAGTACATACATATTATAACAATGTGACGCGGAGCGTATATTGTGTTTTTTATAAAAGATAAAGGTCATATAAGAGTATAATAATTTATTGCTGAAGTGTTGGAACATAAGAAGTAGAAGTGAAAGGACTGCAGAGTAATAATAGAAAATATCTAATAATTTGAAATGATGTGTTTTTGAGAGCTGCCTTAAATTAATTAATATTGACACATTCCTTAATTTTATTTGGTAATTTGTTGTAGTATGATGGACCAATAAATTTTAGAGAATCCCAGCCAACCTTAATACGGTACTTGGGCTGGACTAAAAGATATTTTGATCTTGTGTCAGCAATTGTTCAGCAATTTTGAAATAATCTTTGAAAATATATAAAGGAAAACCAGATGGTTTATTTAAACATTTAAATATAAACATGGCAATGTTTAAATAATATATATCAAAAATGGTCAATAAGTGTTCTCTTTTGAATAATGGAGCAGTATGCTCTCTAAAGTGGGAATTGGTAATTAATCTGATGCATTTCTTTTGAATTAAATGTATCGGGGCAAGAATTGTCTTCTTTACATAGCCCCAAATGATGTTACAGTAGATAATATGGGAGAGAATCAGTGAATGGTATCACTTTAGAATCATGATTGAGAATATCTTTTACTCTGTAAAGAATACCTACTATTCTTGACATTTTTTGTGATATATTGAATGTGTTTTTTCCAATTTAGTTTTTCATCGATAAAGGAAATTAATGCTTGTTTCTCTCTTTATAGGAACATTGTCAATAAGTATATCTATGTCTCTTTGAATGATGGTTCTGCCTGGGGCAAAAATGATAAAACTAGTTTTTTCCAAATTAAGTGATAGTTTATTGGCCTTAAACCATAAATTGATTGATTGTAGTTCCTTGTTTAATAGTCTGGTTAATTCATTTAGGTTCTGATTAGATAGAAGTAGATTTGTGTCATCTGCATATAACACAAATTTAATAAGTTTAGAGGTTGAAGTTATATCATTAATATAAATTAAAAACAAAGTTGGTCCGATTATTGAGCCCTGAGGAACACCACATTTGATGGATTCTTCATTTGAAGAAGTAGTATTATTATAACAAGTGATCTGTTTTCTGTCATTTAAGTAAGAAGTGAACCAGTTTTTTACATTACCTCTTAGGCCATAATAATCAAGTTTGTCAAGTAAAATTTGGTGATCAACGGTATCAAATGCTTTTGACAGGTCCAAAAATAGTCCAATATTAAAGTTATTATCATCAAGTGAAGTTCTTAAATTTCAAGAAAAGTTAAGATTGCAATGTTTGTTGATTTATTGGGCAGGAAACCAAACTGACTTGAACTGAGTATTTTCTGTTTTGTTATGAAGTCAATTAGTCTTTTATGCATTACTTTCCTAAAACCTTTGAGAAAATGCTTAAAAGTGAAATTGGTCTGTAGTTTGAGAATAAACTGGGCTTGCCTTTTTTTAAAAATTGGTGTAATTGGCTCACACAGTGAGCCTATGGGATCGACCAGGCGTCCGTCCGTTGGTCCATCCGTCCGTCCGTCCGTCCGTCCGTCCGTCCCTCCGTCCGTCCCTCCGTCCGTCAACATTGGCCGCACAAATTAAAACTGCTATTCGGATTGAGTCATATCCACATTCATTTTATGCATATCCATAATGCCTATTTGACTCATTGTCGCCATTTCCCAATTTCGTCCGGTTTCTGAGAAATTGCGGATTTTGACGTCAAAAAGTCAAATTTTCTGTAAATACTAGACACTTTGTTGAAGTAGAACTTTTAAATAACTTTAAGTAGATGCTGTATATGCAACTTATGTCCTCTGAAGATTTCAAAGCTCTTGGAATTACAGTTTTTGGTGTTTACTCTATAAAATTTGACAAAAAGTATCAGGAAACTTTCTCATGTATAAAGTCAATGGCAGGTTTTGTGATTGACAAGTTTCTCAAAGTTTGCCTTATACTTGATCATTTCTTGCAATGAATTACACCATTACTAGATTTAAGCATTCCCTACATATTGCTTAATATATGTCAGCATCAGATTTTTACAGTTTTTGAGATATTTGATGTCAAAAAACAGTAAAAATAAGTTATTTTTCAACTTGCTTCAATTTGACCAAATTTTTTTTGAAAATCATCTACCAGTTGCCAGGAACTAAAATCTGACATTAGTTTTAGGATTTGACCTTTACTTGACCTTCAGTGACCTTCGAAAGGTCAAAAAAATTGATTTTTCAAATTGATTTTTGGATGTTAATTTTGGTCAGCTTAATCACAAAAGACCTTACTGAACTCTAAATAAGTAAAATTTTCAAGGTCAAAGGTCATCAAACGAGGTCACACAACTGTGCTGTCTAAGTTTCTCAAAGTTCGAGACTACAAATCCAAGTCAATATTTTTGTTTGAAAGTCAGGATATACATTCCTCTGAAGGTTCCAAACTGTGTGAGCACAGGACCGTTGGTCCTATTTTTTTTGCTGTTTTGAGAATATCAAGAAATATGCCATTTAAGAAAGATAGATTGCATAGATGAGTTAGATCATAGATTTGACCTTCAATGACATTCTCAATGTCAAAAATAGGTTAAAAAGGTCATAAAAATTTTTCAACTTGCTTCAAATTGACCAATTTTTTCAAAATGATCTACAAGTTCTCAGAAGTTCAAATCTGACTTTAGATTTTGGATTTCACCTTCAATAAGGTCAGAAAAGGTCAAAAGGGTTTTTCAACTTTTGTAACTAGGTGGTGACATTTTGTCATGTTAATGCCTTGTTTGATGAATGCAAGACTATATGTGATAGCTCATGTGGATGCAGCACTCGCTTGCCTCAAACCTGGCAAGATACCTGTTTGCAAATCAGTTGTTAACTTTACAAAATATTTTGACCACATAGGTTGAGATCCAAGCTGGTGACAACATAAACAGAATGAGAAATAACCCACAATGCCCTCATCTCCTAGCAACAGGTGGGAAGGAAAATGACTTGAAGATTTGGGATATCAATCGACCTGAAAAACCTACATTTGCAGCAAAAAATGTGAGTTAACTTGCTTTAAAGCACCTGAAGTAAAATGTAACTAATGAATCATTTATGATTTGTAAAAAATGTGTTGACTTCTGCTAAAATGAGACATATTATTGAAATTTTGCACTTTTAATTGTAGAGTTATCTTTTTGTTAAAATGTTCACACTTTACTCCAAATTGAAAATAGAAATTTATTTCCCAGACATATACCTGAAACTATTGTAACAATGAAAAGCTAAGAAAGTTACAAATAGTGTGACCATGACAAATAGTACATGCATGTTTTGAAAGGTTTTATTTACTAACTTCTTTCATATTTTTTATCGATGTCCTAGGTACGCTGTGATTGGCTTGATCTAAGAGTTCCCATCTGGGTGCTTGATTTGCGGTTTATTCCGGACAGTGAGAAAGTAGCTATATGTAGTGGTCATAAACACGTAAGTGAATGAATTGCGGTAACATCTTCAACCGTCAGGAAACAGGTGGGATTTATAGCCGTTCCTAATTACGGTGGAGATTTTTGCCATTTTTAAAAATCGAGGAAGGGGGGATTTCTGTAGGTTTCTTATGGGTTCAGTTCTTTAGTTCAAAAATACAAGAAAAAATGTCAGGACAATTCATTACCCATGCCTTGTTATCCCAACAAAATGAAATTTGGTAAGGATATAGTGAAAACCTCAGTCTGTCCATCAGTCCATCCATCAGTCCATCCATCTGTTTGGAAGATAACTTAAATGCTAGAGCACTTATTTCCTTCATATTTGGTGGAAAGATGTACAATGTATATAGTTGTTAATTAGTTTTACTCAAAAAAGTTTTTTGAAGATAGCCGCAGCTTTAAAATTGGTGGGAATTTTGTGCAAAAATCTTAAGTTTAACATTTTAACCAAAGTAATAAATATTTTGGTTGACATTTTGGTAGTGCACTCAACATCTATCTGTTTCACATTTATTCCGTGGTCAAGAAACATGATGTTGATGTCTTTCTGAAGTATAGTTTATACTGAAATGAAAGGTTTTTCTGATTTGGGCCTCATAAAATTCACGATGGCCGCTTTTTGTGGGCTTTCGCAATAATTTTCTGATCTCTTCAAAGTATGGTTTTTATGTCCCCACCACATAGTGTTTTTACCTCCATGTCAAGAAAATGAGTATCAGGTATATTTTGTTCAATTTTATCAAAAAGCAATTGGTTTTCATAAAAATCAACAACAAATATGTAAACTATACATATGTATAGACTTTCATACATATAAATATACAATCTAATAATAACTCAGATGCGAATAGGTAGTTCCTTTTAACTTGAACATTCATTAGTTTTAGTGGTTCAATTTTCATATCACCATTATGTATCAAATAGTTATCCCATAGGGAACGCCTCAGTCCGTCCGTCCTTCTGGGCAATAACTCAAATACCTTTGGCCCGATTTTGTTCATATTTTTTGCACATATACCTTGTGGGGATAGAATTCGAAAGCTGATTTTCAAAATGGCCGCTCATTTAAAAATTGCGGCCATTTTAGTGCCGATTTTACAGTAATTTAGGTACAATATGTAAAACTGTAATAGCAATATGTTTAAATGTAAAAAATTATGTAGGACTTTGTGTATAACAGTTCTTGGAGGTGACATGTACTGGCATATGCCATATAAGCCATAGCATGGTTTTCATTCTATAATTAGGATGTTGATTTTATCATAAATTGTAGCATACAGTTTCGTAGCCCTTTACGTTAATCTTAAACTCATTTTGCAATACGCATTACCTATACGTATCCGTAACAAACATACGGATAGGGATAGGTACACATATATTTTTACGCTAATCTTAACCTCCCTATTGATGCGATAAATGATGCCATGTGGTGATGCATGAAATTGTTTGAATTTATACATTCTTCATCAGTTTTGCTTATTGTAAAATCAGCCATTTTCTCGTGGTTTTAATTGTTTAACTTTACTATTTGGTCACTCTCATTGCTGGATCATGCTAGAAATTTATAGGTATAGGTATAGGTAAATGGGTTATTTACGCTAATCTTAAACTCCCTAATGAATGTGTTCGACCACCTTATTTCTATGCAGATCGAATGAGAAATGTTTGTTAGAATGCCGGTTTCGAAGAAACGGCATTCTATAGTTTTCGCCTTTTTCTTATTTTTATTATTCCACGCAAGATTTCTCCGCACACACCGACATGTCAGCTAATTAGCATATACCACCAACCTTGACATGTTCCTGGGCTACAGGGAAATGCCTTCATTTTTTTAATTAGCCCCTCCCTAATTAGCCAAGGTCAAATCGCAAATTTTTACATTTTTGCACGTACAAGGAGTAACCATTTTTATTTTTTACCCAAAATTTGCATATGCCATCCCTCACAATTGCCATTTCACATATATTCCGGGTTTTAAAATTGGGTGCCCCAAATTTGAAAAATGGGGCACCCCAGTGGGGCAAAATTTGAAAACTGTGTATCCGATCCCAATTCTGAGCAGATATAAAGAATAGAAGCCCCTGATTCCAAATATGCTTTCGGTTTTGGAATCCGACCTCTGAGTGACCTTGAAAAGGTCAACAAGTTCAAAAATCAAAATCGCTCAAATTGATTCCAAATTGGTACCATTGTATTACACTGTACTCGGATAGAGTAAATTAGGTCACCATTTTGACCTTGACCTTTGACATTGACCTTCAAATGACCTCAAAGTTGAAAACTAGGATTTTCATTCCAATTCTTTGCAAGTATGAAGTATGGATGTCCCTGATTCTAAATATGCTTGTGGTTTTGGAATTTGACCTCCGGGTGACCTTGAAAAGGTCAAAAAGGTTAAATTGCTAAAATTGCTCAAATTGATTCGAAATTGGTACCATTGTATTACACTGTACTAAACTAGAGTAAATTAGGTCAACATTTTGACCTTGACCTTTGACCTTCACCGTAAAATGACGTAAAACTTATTTCTTGTTTTACCTGTTCAAGGAGCCACTGTAGTTATTTTTTGCATGCCTTACTCTTCCCATTTAACATATCTCTAGGGTTTATAATTTGGGTGATTTTCATTCCAATTCTTTGCAAGTATGAAGTATGGATGTCCCTGATTCTAAATATGCTTTCGGTTTTGGAATTCGACCTCTGCGTGACCTTGAAAAAGGTCAATTGTGCACCGAATTTGCTGCTGCGGCGAGGAACGGCATTCTACGAAATCGCCCCCGTGGCGATTTTAAATGTCTAGTTATTATTATTCCACGCAAGATTTCTCCGCACACACCGACATGTCAGCTAATTAGCATATACCATCAACCTTGACATGTTCCTGGGCTACAGGGAAATGCCTTCATTTTTTTAATTAGCCCCTCCCTAATTAGCCAAGGTCAAATCGCAAATTTTTACATTTTTGCACGTACAAGGAGTAACCATTTTTATTTTTTACCCAAAATTTGCATATGCTATCCCTCACAATTGCCATTTCACATATATTCCGGGTTTTAAAATTGGGTGCCCCAAATTTGAAAAATGGGGCACCCCAGTGGGGCAAAATTTGAAAACTGTGTATCCGATCCCAATTCTGAGCAGATATAAAGAATAGAAGCCCCTGATTCCAAATATGCTTTCGGTTTTGGAATCCGACCTCTGAGTGACCTTGAAAAGGTCAACAAGTTCAAAAATCAAAATCGCTCAAATTGATTCCAAATTGGTACCATTGTATTACACTGTACTCGGATAGAGTAAATTAGGTCACCATTTTGACCTTGACCTTTGACATTGACCTTCAAATGACCTCAAAGTTGAAAACTAGGATTTTCATTCCAATTCTTTGCAAGTATGAAGTATGGATGTCCCTGATTCTAAATATGCTTGTGGTTTTAGAATTTGACCTCCGGGTGACCTTGAAAAGGTCAAAAAGGTTAAATTGCTAAAATTGATTCGAAATTGGTACCATTGTATTACACTGTACTAAACTAGAGTAAATTAGGTCAACATTTTGACCTTTGACCTTGACCTTTGACCTTGACCATAAAATGACGTAAAACTTATTTCTTGTTTTACCTGTTCAAGGAGCCACTGTAGTTATTTTTTGCATGCCTTACTCTTCCCATTTAACATATCTCTAGGGTTTATAATTTGGGTGATTTTCATTCCAATTCTTTGCAAGTATGAAGTATGGATGTCCCTGATTCTAAATATGCTTGTGGTTTTGGAATTTGACCTCCGGGTTACCTTGAAAAGGTCAAAAAGGTTTTTAAATTGAGTGCCAAAATTTCAAAAATATGGCAAAATATGATATCAAATATGCTTTCGGTTTTGGAATTCGACCTCTGCGTGACCTTGAAAAAGGTCAATTGTGCACCGAATTTGCTGCTGCGGCGAGGAACGGCATTCTACGAAATCGCCCCCGTGGCGATTTTAAATGTCTAGTTATTATTCTATCAAAGCATTTTTCTCCTACTTCCAACTAGCTTTCAACTACCTACTATATGATCCTACTAGGAACCTTGGCTGAAATTGGGGGGAAAATATTTTTTATCTAGGTCAAGGTCAAAGGTCAAAATCTAGGTCAAATCTAAGTTTTTTTCAAGTTTCTCAAGTTTGTCATTATACTTCATTATTTCTTGCGATGAATTAAACTGAAACTACATTTAAGTATTCTGTACAAATTGTTCACTATATGTCAGCATTAAATTTTTACTGTTTTTGAGATATTTGACGTCAAAAAACGGTTAAAATAGGTCATTTTTCAACTTGCTTCAATCTGACCAATTTTTTTTTAAAAATCATCTACAAGTTCCCAGGAGTCCAAATCTGACTTCAAATTTGACCTTTGACCTTTAGTTGACCTTCAGTGACCTTCGAAAGGTCAGAAAACTTGATTTTTCAAATTGAGTCTTTGGATTCAAATTTAGGTCAGCCTAATTACAAAAAGCCTACTGAGGTCTAAAAAAGTAAAAATTTCAAGGTCAAAGGTCAAGGTTTTCAAATTAGGTCACAAACTGTGCTATATAAGTTTCTCATAGTTCAAGACTATAAATCAATATTTTTGATTGAAGGTCAAGATATACATTTCTCTAAGGGTTCTTCACATATTAGTCATTGACTATTTATTAAAATTTTGTCCCAGTTTTGAGATATAAGAGCTCAAAAACTGAAAAAGGTCAATTTTTCAAAGTTTATAAGGTCAAATTTTAACTTGCTTCAAATTCACCCAACTTTTTTTTTAAAATCATCTACAACTTCTCAGGAGTTCATATTTAACCTCAAATTTGACATTTGACCTTTAGTTGACCTTCAGTGACCTTCGAAAGGTCAGAAAAGTTGATTTTTCAAATTGAGTTTTTGGATTCAAATTTAGGGTAGGCCTTATCATAAAAGACCCACTGAGCTCTAAAACAGTAAAATTTTCAAGGTCAAGGGTCACGGTTATCAAATTAGGTC